TAGATTATATACTATATAACACTTGTTGATGATGTTAACAAGGCTATCAAGTTTACCTGTAGATATTGTGTCCCTATCCCCAGGCAATACCGCTACACAGCTTACAGACAGGTCATCCGCTGGGCCTATGGAGTTCTAGGCAGGCACATTAGGAAGCCCTTACCCTCATGTGTTGTCTGCCATCAGAAGACAGTTCCCAGAAGGAGGAGGAATTTACAAAGGTTTTGAGTGGCCTCATTTTGGTGACGATCAATACAATTAATCACAATCATAGTGTGTTCGCACTATGTGTTCGCATACATATGCATTTCCAAACATTTTGTCTACTTATGCTGTAAATGTGGTATTTTTTAAATTTACACAAATAAACATTGATTGATAGATAGTGTCTTTTCATTAATAACCACCAAAATACGTTATTTGAACACTCCTCTCGATCGATTTACAAAAAAAAAAATAGTATGGCTCGCCCTAATACACCAATGCAGTTTTTAAAGATATACATTTTTCAACACATAATCATTTACCAAATTACACCATATCCAATCATTTTACGAGTCAGAAAATGCTATCTGTTCATTGCAGTTATTGTTTATTGAATTAGATTACCATGACCTCAACATAATTATGTAGAGTACAAGTCCACAGCCAAGAAAATGTTAGGGTTAGGGTTAAATATGTAAATATACACAACTTTATAATAAAATGCACACATTTTAAATATAAATAGAATATGTTTATATATTAATATGTTCATGTGTGGGGAATCTCACTGGACAGCAGCAAGGGAGACCTCTAAGCGAGCCAACAAGTTGGATGAAGAAGGTGTTGAAATTGTTGTGTGTAGGCATGGATTTCTTCTCAAAGGTTGGTTAAAAAATATTTGTAGATAATCTGAAGCCTTACCTTCAATATGATTTGTTCTCACTATTTGTGTGTGTGGGGCACTAAGACCAGCGTCCAACCACAAGGGAGTATGGTGTGTGTGTGTGGGGCACTAAGACCAGCATCCAGCCACAAGGGAGTCCACAATCAGAAGCCAGACAATTTTTTCCTTTAGAATCTGCTGGTTTCACACTAATTTCCTGTGTTAAACCGGGAATGCCGTGCCAGATAAAGGCCAACTGCCTCATCCTTGGCGATCTCCTGGCAGGAAGTGGAAAGGAGGGCAGGGGCAGTGGAGGACAAGACTGCACTGCTCTCTCGTAGAGTCTCTGGTGACCTGGAGTAGCCCTCACTCAGAGACTCCATCAGGGCTGCAGCGTATGCTGAAGGAAGGAAACAAGTGATCACATTCAGTGATATTATAGATGCATCACACAATAAATAATATTTAGGGACCGAGTAAAACAGCTAACCGTATGATGGCTTCTCCTTGATAGGGCGAACTACCCAGCCACCTTTGCAGAACCTTGGGTAGCGAACTGCATAACGCACCTCACCATCACTGGTTCGAGCAACCTCTCTGCTGCTATTGTGGTTAAAGTGCAGGGCTGCCATGAGAAGCCTGTAGAGACAGCAGATTATGCAGTTCACAAGTTGTTTGTACATATGTGAATAAACTGTTTAACTGATAGCATTAGTCGGTTAAACTTGGTATTGTCCGTTAACGGTTAAATGGTTAATTATTAACATCCCTAAGCCGTACACATTCTTTCACCATCACATCATATTTACCTGCTGTACATCCCAAGGAAGGAGAACCCAGTGTGCTTTGGTGCAAAGTGGAGGATGAGGGAGTGAAATGCCTCCAGGGAATAGGTCTGATGCTGTGGAGACAACTTCCGGACATCCTTCACCAATGCTGTTCTCAAAGTCACCCTCTCCAGTTTAATGGCTGCAGTTGTTCCTGTACAAACACATATTTTGTTCTGATGTTACTAGAATTGTCTACATATGCATGTATTACCTACACCAGTGGTTCTCAAAGTGGGGGGCGCAGAGGCATGACAGGGGGGGTGCGAGAGACCAGGGGGAAAAATGGTTATACATTTTTTTTTAAAAAGATCATATTTTGAAAAATTATTGATTGAAAATAATATGATACAGTACTATTGTGTGTGTGTGTGTGTGTGTGTGTGTGTGTGTGTGTGTGTGTGTGTGTGTGTGTGTGTGTGTGTGTGTGTGTGTGTGTGTGTGTGTGTGTGTGTGTGTGTGGTGTGTGTGTGTGTGTGTGTGTGTGTGTGTGTGTGTGTGTGTGTGTGTGTGTGTGTGTGTGTGTGTGTGTGTGTGTGTGTGTGTGTGTGTGTGTGTGAGAGAGAGCGCACCGGAGATTGTTGTTAGCTTCTGGTGCTAGCGAGCTACGCTAACGGATATAAGGAGTTTTTTCAACAACAAAGTGGAGGAGAGTCCTCTCCTGTCAGACTGAGAGACTCAGTGAGCTAAAGGACTCTCTCAGTGGGTCTCAAACGTTTTGGTCACCATTAATGTAAACAATTATTTCCAAGGCACACATTTATATGATCATTATAGTTATACAAAAATAAGAGAATCAATTAAAAACAGGTATGAAATACTATATGACATTAAAGGGGAGTGATTTGTAAAATATCCATAAAGAAATAGTAAATCTGTTTACAATTCTGTTTCAAATGGGTGTTGAGAGATGTATCCATAGATCTCTTCATTTTGCTCTCAAAGTGCACCAGATTGATGCTTTTAACTTCAATATTTAAAATTCTTCCCGGGGGAGCTTGACCCCAGACCCCCCTATGTGAGATCCACACACCACCTATAAAAATAGCACTTTACCCCTGCTTACACCTATATGCGGCCGTGAGCTGATTGTCGAGCCTTCATTGTAACAGTCACGGGTACACTGTGTATTTGCGTGGGGATTGTTGCAGTAGAAAATTCCACTGTAGCGCCCGGTACATTAATGTGAAACCCTAAATGTTTGAGCACCCTCTATGAAACGTCAAGCTACCCCACAGCACCCCCAAAATAAATCTCTGGCGCCGCCACTGAGCCTGACTATTTGTGTTGGGGGGGGCCCAACTTTTTTTTTTCTCCAAAGGGGGGGCCTGACAGAAAAAGTTTGAGAACCACTGACCTACACTGATAAAGCACGATTGTGTGATACTATCAGGTGTTATTTATATAACGCCTTGTTAATGTGTTAGCACACTTTGGGTTATATATTGATGGAGGGCTCTGGAACCAAAATAAACTAAGCACCAACAAGCACATGGACAACTAAGATGTTTCAGCAACACAGTGTACAGAGTACGTTACCTGGTTCCAGCCACTCCCTCCAGAGGTGGATGTGCACAGCAGGGAAATGCAGGAGTGCCGTGTTCATGGATGTCCTGAACATGATTCACCATACTTTGCCACTTGGCTTCCATCACATCTGGATCTCCATCAGGAGTGGAAGCTGCAGTCCAGTACAGGTGATTGATGATGGCTGGCCTCCACAGCTTCAGGTCCTCACACTCCCTCTCCTTTGCAGCAGCATCCAAAGCTTTCCCTAGACCTGTTTCACAACAGAAACAAAATATTAAAAAAGAAAATGTAATTATAAACAAATTTCAGCCTAATCAAACCTACCAACATCAAGATACATACTTTTACCAATATGCCAGATATCAAAGAAATGACTCGTTCCTCCTGGACACAACTCCTCCCGCACCCACTTGGCAACCTAAAGAGTGAAACACAACACCTTAATTAATTACTAACTAGTAAGAAAATGTAGTTTTTGCTGTTAATATGGTGCGCCAAGAATCTTTGTGTGTACATATGTCTGTTCGTTCTTGTGTGTCTTTACCTGGCGATTTCGGTCCGTAATAAGGGCTGAAACTTGCATGTGTTGCTCCTTAAGGAAGTCAATGCTGCGTTTCAGACCCTCTAGTCATAGGCGGAGTTTGACATTTGCGCTTGGGGGGGCAAACCTTTTTTTTTACTGACGTCCCAACCAGGGTTTCCGCTAGGATTTTTTCTCGCCGGTCAAATGTCCGGACAGAATTTATTTTACCGGACAAATTTGAAACTTACCGGTCATGTTTCAATAATAATAATAAGAATTGTGTAGCAGTTTCCGTTAGCAGGTAATTACCGGACTATGACCGGATATGCTGATGTTTAAAACTCAGTTAATGTGAGTCATTTTTATATTGCTTCAGTTTATAATCGTAACAGATCGGAAAAATTCAGATTCATTTTTCAATAAATTATTCCGCAAACAACAAACAACATAATTATTACATTCAAATAAACTAATTTTAGTAGATGAAGTACATTATTCAAAAGTTTAAATTAACTTTGAATAATAACACGGGAGAAACGGATCCTCTCTTTTCCTCTCTCCCTCCCTCTCTCTCCTGACAGCCCGTCAGTTTCTCATGCAGCTCACTAAACAGTGGGCGGGGCTTCAGGTGATTATGCAGCAGCTGATCTGATCTCTCTCTCGTGTCCGGTTACACTTCACTCGCGTTTATGTCCATATCGATCAGATCCAGCTCTCCTGATCGGCCTTTATAAAGAGCACAGATCAAATTATAAAGAGTGAATATCGGCCGATAATGATCGGCGGCCAATCGATAGGAGCATCGGACATTTTGACCGGCAGGTTTTGAATTTACCGGGTTTTATTACATTTTACCAGCTAAAAAACCGGTAATTACCGGCTAACGGAAACCCTGGTCCCAACTATTGCGTGGGGTGCTACGGATACAGTAGCAATAAAGCCAGCACTCACCGCACTGAGTATGACTTTTCCATGCCTGCTGTACACACACAGTCATATGGAAGGGGCGGTCTCTCCCCCCAACAACAGTGCAATACATAACTGTGCACATCTTATACTTATTTGATAACTACTATATCCCTTGGTTACTCGAACACGCTATAATATTATTAACCAGTGTCCTACCTTATTCAAATTTTGATATACGAAATATTTGTATTGGAACAGTTTTCGACGTAGTAATGCTGTAACATATTTCAGCCACTAGGGGGGGCAATGCCCCCCCTGCCCTCCCCGCAAAATCCGCCTATGCCTCTAGTTCACACCAGGTGCTGCTTGGAACCTCTGAGCTCTGTAAAACAATATTATGCAGTCATATCACTAACCGTGTCACATCAGATGAAAGCACATCTGATTTGTGTGACTGATAACGTTAACTTACCTGGACAAGTTGAAGATCCAAAACCTTGTTTATTCTGTCCTCGATCAAGGAGTAGGTGCCATATTTGGCACAATGGCCAGGAGAGTCTGACCTATGAGTGTCAAAAACAGTTTAATTCAGATGTTAAAGCCCAAAAAACAATGCAATGCAGTTATTGTAAATTGCTTTGGATAAAGCTAAATGAATGTAATTTAAATATTGTTTTGACCTCTTTTTGATATCAATAATACAAGCTGAAGTGTTCTACCTGCAGTCACCAGAGAGGATTAGCCCACCCACCATCTCCTTCAGTTCTCGGATGATCCCAGCCTGCTCATTTTGCCAGGCCTGCACGATAGTAGGGATTGTGTACAGGCATTGATGGCGGAAGAAGGTGCCGACACTGATGCACTGAAGCCCTAACAGTTTCAACATCCGTATTGTCTGGGTAGCCATGCAACCTGAGAAGTGGATGGCCCCACTCAGTAACAGGTTGCAGGCTGGCATGTTTCTGTACAGCATTGGCTGGTTCTGCCAAAAACGCTCATACCCACATGCTGCACATACCTAAGAGATGTGAAAAGCAGAACATTGCCAGTACAACTCTTAGTCAGTCAAAAATCAATTATACCATAAAACTAATGAAGTATAGACACAGTGAATTGATAAAACATAACAATTAAATAAAACAAACATTTACATACAGGTTATGATACAACCTTTATTTTTACATCAGTGGAATTCACACATATCCTCTTACTTGTTTTATCTTTATATATGTTCCCTCTTACTGCTCCACATTACCCTGGGTTTCCCCACAACAGGAAGGGCAAATGGTGAAAAGGGACATCAGCTGGGTTTGGCACACAATGAACTTGTCAGCAGCACTGAAAAAAAAAAAAAAAAACTTGTTATTTCTGACTGACACAATTTGGTAATACACATCATCTAAAATTAAAAGAAGCCTTACTTGAGATCAACATTAGTTCCCTGCAGTGGCTCTTTTGATGGTTCCTCGTCAGACGACTCGCTCATCATTTCCTCCTCTGGGCTCCATGGCATATCCCCAAGGTGGTCCATGGTTACAGAAGATGACTCATCATCACTGTGTGCAGGACTGGGCAGTGGAGATTCTGTCTGACACCCCACACTGACCATCCTGGGCTGTACCTGGACAGCTAGGATAAAAGGATATATATTATATAATTGTGCCTGCCATAAACAACAGCCCTGCCATACAATCTACCTTTACAAAGCTTATGTTCAGGTTTTGTTGACATTCGGGCTGAGATGTTTTAATTCATTTATATGTTAATTATTGAGGTCATAGCAAGTCTTGGAGTTGTAACAGCCTGCATCATACTGAGATGTTTTTCTAATATGTTTTTAACATGTAAAAAAACTATGCCGAGTCTTTCCGCGTTTTGATGTAAAATGGGCGCGCTACTTCTGTGTTACATTTACCTGATGAACGATGGAAAGGTCTGAGGTTACACTGTGAGCCGCAGTGAAGCACAGATGTTTGCTGAGGAACCAGTGGAGAGATGACCTCTTGCTCTGGGTCTATAAGCCCAGCATCACTGGCTGTAGGTGAATCTGCAGTACTGTTGTCTCCCAAAGTCTTGAAAACACACACATGAAACACATGATTACACATGCAAATAAATAGCAACTGCGCCATTAGCTATGCAAATAAAGTCCCCAGCCAATTCTAGCTAACATTATCCATTATGTCTTAGCAAGTGGGTTTAACAAGCTAGCAACATTAACTTACAGCAATAAATATTAAACACACGTTGCTTGTCATTATTGAAATCATTATACTGACTAATTTGGAAGTTCGCAAACGTTAGAAAAACAATACTTACGGTGCACAGTTCACGTTTCGTTTTGCTGAATCTCTGACCGACGCTCCCGCGCTCTCACTCCCGCCGCTTCCGGCGGCTGCTGCTGCCGGAGCTGTGTGTATTGACGGAACCGCACTAGCTATCAGCCTCATACGGTCCTGGCTTCTATATCCCATACTGCACTCCCTCACATCACTTGACTCATAATCCTCCGGTCGAAAATGAGCGCCACAAACGACCGCGTTTTTCGTCACAGATGCAGCATTGAAGTTCAGTCTCTTTGTCTGCACAAAACGAACCCAGGACCGAAAGCTAGCTAGCTTTCTTTTCCTGTTAAGGAAACTGTGGACTCGATGTCCTGACAGGCTGGTATTTGTGCAACCTGCACAAACACAATACTGCACCATGATTACAAATGGTGAAATACAATGTAAAACTACCGAAAAATACCAGCTCACTAAAACACAACCGCTCAATTCAACGCAACTACTAACTATACCCGCGGTCACAGAGCGGATATGTTTACCCTATGTGATGTAATATGACGCGTTTGACGTATGACCTTTAAAAAAAGCCGTTTTTAAGAGCAGAGCTCAAAATTGCTCCTTTCCCTCTGAATTCCTGCCCTTATGTCTCGTAAAACATATCAAATCCTACATTCACTTTTTTAATTGTAATTTTCAAGCAAGTTTAAGCATAAATGTAGAAAAAAAACCCCCCTGCAAGATGCTCTTTAAGTTTAGATTGACTGTATTTAGTTTTCTTCTGCACTGGTTCTTCTGACATGTTTGTAAGTGTCATGTAATTTACATGGATACATTTGAATGGTGTGACAATGTCCTATTTGATTGGGTTAAAATGTACATATTCTTCCTGTTATGTCTGCCTGCTTTATTTTACCTAATGCAAAGTGACCTGCTCAATCGAAATCAGTCGCATTGACCCGAAGACACATTTTGATTCCTAGCTTTCTGATGATATCAGGATTGTTTTTGTACTCCAAATATTAAGTGTAAGGGAAACTTCTGAAGCAATGGAGAGTCAGGACTCAGAGAGACACGAGGAAAGTTGGAGCTTTGATGTCAAACACTGATGGTTTATTTGGAGTTACGGCCGGAGAGTTGACAAGACAGGTCGGGTGTCACGAGTTGACACAGCGGTTGCCAAACCAATTCTGAAGAACTCTTTCTGTAGCTCGAGGTTTTATCTAGTTCAGAGTGTAATAATCAACATTTTCCATCAGTGAGACTAAACAAATATGGACCCTGAATCTAACTAGAGCTCTCGTCCATAGAAAAATAATGCGCGCCAGGGAACCTTCGTCCCTGAACAGTAAACTACCTCATGGCGGCTTGTGCTCTGTCATAGACTGGCAACAACAATGCGCCCAAGCTGCCCCTCCTTAAGAGAGATAGCAGCAATACCCAAGGCCGTAGACATATGCCATAGGAAAGGAGACAGTGAGAGGAGAAAATGATGAACTGTGTCGAAGGTTGAATACCTAAGCAAATTATTCCCTAACAGTTTTCTCTTTTTATCAATTTTGATAACCTAAACAACCTATTCTAATAATAATTTGTTCAATACCCTAATAAATAAGGTTCTTCAGAAAGGGTGTAGGCATTCTACACAATGTTGCAAATAATCACATTAATAAAACATTTCAGATTGAAACAGTCAATCACAATCATAAAAATGATCTCTCATCAGTGTTTGGAGCATCTTTTCAAAAGCACGATAATGAACATACATGAAATAATCACAGATACATAATAACTAGGGCTGTCAAGTTAACGCGTTAATAACGCGTTAACGCTCACCGGCAGGCCCTGACTGGCCATCGGGAGGACCGGGAGAGACCTTACGTGTATTGTTGTTGTTAGCATATGGTGCTAGCTAGCTGCGCTAACGGATATAAGGAGCTGTTTCAATGAAAACAGAGGAGTGACATTTCGCCGACAACTGCGCCAAGCACTTGACTTTATGCAGGAAGCCAGACAGTGGGACATTGTACGAAAAGTCAGCACACTCAGCACGGATAGTGCGCAACATGATCGCAGCGTCCAGGCAGCTCCCGTTCGAGCATATGCCTTGAGTTGCACTGCACATAGCTCCAACGATCCATCACTCACACACACACACACACACACACACACACACACACACACACACACACACACACACACACACACACACACACACACACACACACACACACACACACACTTTGTATTGTATTATTGAATGAGAGAGGTTCCAGGTTGAATTGAGGCAAATATTTGTAATGTTCAGAGGTTGTTGTGTTTAATATTCATGAGAATTTTTGTCATTGTTCAAATGATAATAAACATTTGCATGAAGCATATTTGTCCACTCATATGTTGATAAGAGTATTAAAAACTTGAAAAAGATTCCTCTAAGGTACATTTAGAACAGATAAAAAATGTGCGATTAATCGCGATTAAATATTGTAATCGACTGACAGCCCTAATAATAACATAAACATTTGAAAATAAATACTTTTTATCATTTACTCATTAGTTAATTTCATTTAGCAACCTACAAAACCAAGACTAGCTTGTAGCTCAAAGATTTACTTCAAGGCAAACATTTAGTCAAGGCGTCAATAAATCAGGATCATGAGAGATCCAGCTATGGTTTAAGAGATTCACACTGGTGAGCTAACCAATCTATAATCTGTAAAATTGCAGTGTCAACAATTTAGGATTATATTTACGTTTATCTTCATTATGCTTAAATCAAGAGACTATGGCATGATAACAGAATTACATTACTTGGACAATCAATTATTATGTCATTTCAAAATCTGAAGGGAAAAGTTAAACAATTCTCAAAATGTTTAAACAATCTGAAAAGGAAAAGTTAGGCAAATATTCAAAGACTTTTGTAAAAACCTGGAAAGGAAGGATTAAACATTCCTAAAACTTTAATTCATACATTTGTAAATGCTACAACTGATCTGTACCAAATTAACTCAATTAATTATTCTTATTAGCCATACTTACCTGAAAATCTACTTATGGTACTTTGAAAGGGTTATTCTATGTTTATCTATGGTTGAATATAGAATATACATTTCTTTCAATTATACTTCTCTAATTTGAGGATCAAATATGCTACATAATTGTTATGATTTATCATACATATTTGTTTTGGGCCAACACTGAAATTAATCCAGTACTTGAAACATCATTTTAGGTCTGTCTGTGCATGGGTAATACATTAAAGAGTAGTGTTGTTAAGCCTGATTGCTGGGTGATTAAGGATATTAACATCTGTGATAATACTAGAAATACCTTATTATTCAATACCTTATAATCTGAGAATATTTATTTATTTTTTAGTGTGAAAGTGTAATCTGATCTGAAAAAAATATATGAATCACCACTATTTAACACATGTCTGGTCATTTTAAATATAACAACAATCATTAATTGTACATCTGTAAACATCTGGTCATTCAATTCAAAGTTCATCTTTGTACGAGAGCTGGAAGAACATGTCCTCCTGACTCGTTCTCCTCCTCTCTTTATGACACAGAGCGTCTGGTGTGTAAAGGCATCCTGATACTGTAGATTAGCACTGAGGTGCTGATTGGCTCAAACTCTTCTTCATCAGAGCGCCATATTTCACCCCCCCCCCCAATTGCTCTGCTTTTGTGTGGCTCATTCAGTGAGCACTGTATGATCCCCCCAGTGAAACGGAGGCTCATCTGCCTGCATTTCCTTCTGCTATCTGCTTGAGAGCAGTGCAACTGCATATTCCAAGTGGCGCATCCAGGTGTGTGTGTCCCCGTGATGGGAGAGATTAGGAAGACATCTGCTCCTCCAAGAAACATGGAACCTTGTATTATAGAAGCCTCTGAAGAAGCCCTCGCTCGTCCTGCAGGGTTGTCTGCTTGAGCCCACCGAGCAGAAAGGTGAAGAGAAGAACCCCCTCTCAGCAGAAAGGTGAAGTGAAGAACCCCCTCTTATCAGAAAGGTGGAGAGAAGCATCCCATCTTATCAGAAAGGTGGAGAGAAGCATCCCAGGGCTCTTGACTAACTTTTTTCACCATCCTCCCGGAACCGTCCCGAAATACAATCTAAGCCGTCCCGAAATTAATGTGGACCATCCCGAATTTAAAATATTAGTTTTTCTACATTATCATTAGTTAAAATCATTCAAAGTGACCTTTAACATAAATAAAACATCATACAAATCATTAGATGATAATTCATCAACCTTTTTATTTGAGTAAATCAGTCAATCACATAAACAAAGGCCAAATATAACCCTTGTGTGTTGTTCGGGTCAAATTGACCCGATTTCCATTTTCAATGAATAAAAAAAAATATAAGGATATTTTCGTTCAACCTGAAACTCAATGGCCGGGGCTTATTTATTGTGAAGGACATGTGGAATTGTTTTTATATTTTTCCACTTATAAAAAAATGCCCACCCGCATTTATGTCCTTCATAAGAGGTTCGGGTCAATCTGACCCGGATACAATACCAGGACAGACAGACAGAGAACAAACACAAAGAAACACACAAACTAAAGACACACACACACACACACACACACACACACACACACACACACACACACACACACACACACACACACACACACACACACACACACACACACACACACACACACACACACCACACACACACACACACACACACACACACACACACACCACACACACACACACACACACACACACACACACACAATTGTATGCATAGAGAAGCTGTTTGATCCTGTTTTCCCTTGATCTTTACTCTTTGTAGTGTGTACACAAAACTATCCTAGAACATTATAAACATTTTAGATCTTCCAGAAATGTATAAACATTTTACATTTTCTCGCACTGTCCCCCTCGCACCTGCACGCCGGAGGAGGGACTAAACAGAGACATAACCTCACATTACAGTGTAGTGCAGAACTACAATTATCTACCAACAAAATGGCCAAAAGATATTCTGCTCAGAGAGCCTGGAGCTAATAATGGATGAGAGTGAGTAGAATGCAATAGAATAACACGGTGAAGTGGAACAGGAAGACATTTCTGAAGATGAGGATAATGTGGAGGTAAACTCAGAATTTGACAGCAAATTGGAAGATTAACTTGACTCAGAGCCAGCTGCTGGAAGACCCCCATAGCCAGCTGCAAGAAGACCCCCACAGTCAGCTTCTGGAAGACCCCCAC